ATTTTTTTAATTTTTTTTTTTAAACACATCTAATTTTTTAAGAATTATAAAAAAAAAAAAAAAAAAAAAAAAAAAAAAAAAAAATGCCCGAGTACACCAATTTTCAAATGTTAATTTAGCTTAAGGGTAAAATGCTATCCAAACCAACCTGTCCCTTGGAGGAAAATACGACTTAATTATTTTTAGATTTGCCACGTTTTTTGTTTCATTTTCATTGGCCAGGACTCCATTGAAAAAGAGGTTTTTAATCTGAATGGGGTTTTTTCATCCTGCTAAACTAAAGATTAAATAAAAATTAGTTAATCCAAGGCCTAAATACTACCAGGCTTGTGAATGAAGAAAGAAAGTAAAATGTGTCTCAAATTAGGAAGCAAGACAGATGTTCTCAAAAAGCAACACATTTTTCAATAAAATAAATTTGAATACAGATGGAAAGTAAAGTCACTGACAGTCCATCAGTCTGAAAAGTAATTTCTAAACCCGTTGGAGTCCAGTGAACCACATGTGAGAAACCATGATGATGCTCGTTAGAATTGGTGGATCTTCCAAAATTCCTCCAAAAAATTAATTGAGGACTCATCCAAAAATTCACAAAAGAAACCAGAGCAACAACTACAGGACTGAGATTTCCCTTTTTTTGGTTATGGTTAATGTTCAAGGAGAATGGGTAGAAACTGCATCAATAAAAGAGCTTCAAAGTGAAAACAACTGCAGACCAAAACTCACACAAGAAGTTCTCATATTTGGTAAAAATTAATAAATAAATAAAAAAAAACCTTTTGCTAAGATATTCTGTGGACCTGTGAGGCAACAGTTTAATGTTTTGGAAAGTCATAGACCAACATAGTAGCACATATTACAGAACAAATATGGTGGTGGTAGTGAGATGCTCTGTGACTACTTTGCTTGAAAGGTCTATTTAAATACTGGGACACTTGCAATTGATAGAACTATAAATTTCTCTGTTTACTTATTTAAAAATTCCAAAGGAGAATATCCTGGCATCAATGTGTGGCCTGAAGCAAAACTGAGCTATACAACAAGACAGTGAACTGAAGCACACTTGCAAATTCCAATGACTGTAAAAAAATAAAAATAAATCAGTAATAAAGGGTATGCTGTTGCATTGTCAAAGCTGAATTGTAAATCTCACTAAAACGCTGTGGAATGACTAGAAATTACAGCAAATTTTGCCAACATGAGTGGGCCAAAAATCCCTCCACGGAGATGTAAGAAACGTATTGCCGGAAATACAAACAGTCGACGACAATTGTTTGTGCCATAGGGGGCACAACCAGTTATTACTAAATCTAATATTGTTTGGCTATTGCTTTTTCACACAGGCAAAACAATAAATCTGTAATAAAAAGACATTATCATTTAAGAACTGTGATTATCGTTGTTTAATGGTCTAAAACATCTAAGTGTGATATACAAGAACAACAAGAAATCCTTAAGAGAGAAAAGACCACCGTATTGTCTGTGTCTGACATTAATTTATTTTCTGAATCTGTAATTATGCTCTCAGATTGGATGTGCCATCATTGCTGGAATCCTCCATTTCTTCTTCCTGGCTTCCTTCTCCTGGATGTGTCTGGAGGGAGTACAGCTATACCTCATGCTCGTCGAGGTCTTTGAGAGCGAATACTCTCGAAAAAAGTACTACTATGTGTCGGGGTACCTCTTCCCGGCAATCGTGGTTGGCGTCTCAGCAGCCATCGACTACGGCAGCTACGGGACCCACAAAGCGTAAGTGCAGCTGTCTGACACACATTCTGTGAACAGCAAAGCTGACATGCAGGATGCTACGCTGCGTAGAGTCTACCTGCTGTGTCTGTGTGAGGCAGATTTTGAAAAGAAATCAACTCATCATCTCTTGCCAGCACCTTATGCGTTGCCCCTGGAGACTACACCGAAACATTCAAGCTTCTTTTTTGCCAGGGATGGGCAGCTGTTCAATTTTTCATGTCATTTGAAAGTGGCTGACAGACCCAACACTGTGGTTTCACCAGAGGGTGCAGCTACATTAATGCCTCTCTGCTCAAAGACCCTCCTGTGACCTCTTGTTTGTAAATGCTCTCTTAAAGAGAAGAGCATTGTGCAGAAGCCTTTTACGTAGATTAATGACCATATCACAGCTAAGACTCGTTGCTGCTAAAGACTACTTGGGGTCTTTTCTCTGTTTTGTGTAAATGTAATCACGTTCAATGCACAAGGAGCTCTTAAAAGTGCCTAATAAAAAGTCTACATGATAAATATTCCCAGCATTATATTTTATGCAAAAAAAAACAAAAAAAACATATGTGCTGTATGATTAATTGCATGTTTCTTTGTCACAGGTGTTGGCTGAGTGTAGACAATCATTTCATATGGAGCTTTATAGGACCAGTCACCTTCATCATCATGGTAAGCTGTTTTATTTTACGTACACTTCCAGAGTGCTGAAGCGAGTGAGAGCAAGTGAGATGAAAGAGATGCAAGGAGGAGATAAAGGAAGTGGGACGGTCAAAGTGAGATGAAAAGTCGGCAGGATTTGTTTTTCTTCACCTTGTTTCCTCAGAGATGACAGGTTAATTCTGCAACAAAGACGCATTTTTGAAGGATCCAAACCCCTTTGTGGCTCTTAGTCCCTGACAGGAATCAGGACTTTATAAAGTACTTCAATCAAAATGTGCACACATTTTAGAGCTGCATCATCTAGGAGCTTTCGATTTATCCTTTAAAGTGGTTTGTGAAAGGGTATATATTCCCGTGACTGTTTTAACATATTGGTCACAATACATGAATAAAAAATGACAGACAAATGTGGCTTACAAATAGATGCAGAACCCTTTCCTGTCATACCTTAAAATAAAATCCAAATGGAGAATCTTCAGATATGTTTGATTTGAGACAATAAAACATGTTTAGAAAACATACAGTGGTAGTTTTTGATATGGGCTATACGGACAGTTGCCCAGGGCAGCATCTCAAAGCGGTGGGGCACCAAAGAACTAGAAAATAAATTAGGTCTTATCTGTCAGTTGCCTCCTGAACAAGTTTGCTACTGTTTGTATGCATGTGTAAAGGAGTAAGTTTCTATTAGTTGCTGTTGAGTACTAGGAGACTACACTTTCTGATTTCTGCTGCAAAAAAATAAAAAATAAAAAAAATAATAATAAAAAAAAAAATCATATATATATAT